CTTGTATTTCATATTTCCTCATTACATCAGTATTATTTAGAGCATATTCTGTTAGCGGGTTTGGTCTGTTTTTGCAAGGACACTGCTAAATATTACCCAGAAACAAAAGATCCTCTGATTTTTTTTTAAAAGGAGCAGTCTAACACACATGGTCATCATATGTACTGAAATATATTATTTTCAAAACATTTGAGAAGCAGAGGTTTTTCTTCCTTCAGCTCCATAACTATTTTTTTTCACAGAGGCAACAATGTCTTCATGCAATTACAGCCGCATTGTAGGTCAAGGATTGGCCTTAGCTATATTAGCTATATGACAAGCAGACAATAGGACTCTGGGCACCATAATTACATAGGGAGATCGTGAATGGATAATTTATTAAAAGTGTAGCTCACAGGAAGACTAGAAATGTGTCTGAAACCACAAAATAATTTCAAGCAGAGGATGGGATGACAGAAAGCAGTGATTTTCAGTAAAACGACACAAGAGAATGGTTTTGAATTTATATACTTAATCTTGTTTCTAAAGATTTTTTCCCCACTATGTATTCTAAATGATCTGTGATTAATATATATGTGTGTGTATATATATATGTGTGTGTCTGTATGTGTATTTATAGCATATGTATATGTATGTGCATGGATGTGTGTGTATATATATTCTTTTGAGAGTGGGCATCAGAATTTCATTTTTTAATGTGTGCCAGGGTGTTCACAGAAAAAAGGTTATCTTATCTAATAAACATGAGTCAAAAAGGCAGCAGTCCTCTGCCAATTTCATATCTAACTCATCTACATTTTTATTTTTCCCTTTATTTTTCCCTTACCGTAATATCTTTATGATTTTTTCAACAATTTTGGCAGAATAAAAATTGCATTGGGTCAGTTTTTTTCAATCCTCCTCCTATAATACAATGTACAAGAGCAGGCCCAAAGACACAAAACAAACCACAGATATTTGAGCCTGGGTCATGTTAGCGGCCTCAAAGTAAACAAGAATATTTTAATGTACTGATATGTCATTTCCAATTTTTCTTGTCAAGTGCGTTAATTAAATTACATTTGAAAGTGAACTAAATAGCAACATTTAAAATCAATACAAATTGTTTATTACAAAATTTCTTGTCCTAAAGTGTTATCCTGAAATATATCAGTAGAATTTGAAAAAAAAATTAACATACATATGTCAGGATTGTATTTATTTATTTATTTATACTTCATATTTCTTTCTTTCCCATCCCTCTCAAAAATGTTTTGCCCACATTTTTACTTGGCTGGCCAGACAAGTCCTCATATTTCCCTCTGCTTAACTTTAAATCTGAACAAAGCTTCCAGCCCTTCAGACCAAGGTCCATTTCTATGGTTATTTAATAATTTCTTTAATCTGACAGATCATTTGATTATTAATACAGTTAAATGGAATGGAATAGAATAGAATAGAATAGAATAGAATAGAATAGAATAGAAAGGGACCTTGGAGGTCTTCTAGTCCAGCCCCCTGCTCAAGCAGGAGAACCTATACCAGGGGTAGGCAACCTCGGCTCTTTTATGACTCATGGACTTCAACTCCCAGAATTCCTGAGTCAGCTACGCTGACTCAGGAATTCTGGGAGTTGAAGTCCATGAGTCATAAAAGAGCCGAGGTTGCCTACCCCTGACCTATACCATCTCAGAAAAGTGACTGTCTAGCCCGGGGGCAGGCAACCTCGGCTCTTTTATGACTCATGGACTTCAACTCCCAGAATTCCTGAGTCAGTATGACTCAGGAATTCTGGGAGTTGAAGTCCATGAGTCATAAAAGAGCCGAGGTTGCCTACCCCTGACCTATACCATCTCAGAAAAGTGACTGTCTAGCCCGGGGGTAGGCAACCTCGGCTCTTTTATGACTCATGGACTTCAACTCCCAGAATTCCTGAGTCAGTATGATGACTCAGGAATTCTGGGAGTTGAAGTCCATGAGTCCTAAAAGAGCCGAGGTTGCCTACCCCTGGCTCTACCCTTTAACTGCAGGCCATCCACAGGTCTGTAAATAGATTCCATCTACTGCGCCTCCACATGGACACCAACGCACCAACATGCCGTGTGTGTGTGTGTGTGGAACCTAAAATGTTCATTCCCGCTGCAAGTTTACCAAAATACCACTAGAGGGAAGCCAATTGCAAGGAATATGTTTGACTCGTCCGGAGTGGGCAAAGTTCTTCAAACTTCCCATCTCCTCCGATTGCTCCTGGGGTACGTATTTCCGTTCCTCTGACGCTTGGCCGAAACCGAGCTCCAATATGCGATGGATTCCGTGACTAAGAGAACATTCTGCGGTGTCGTAGCGCCACAAGACAAGCGCGAAGTTGGTGTCTTATTGCGAATACCTACGTAACTTTAATTTCGCCTCTAGCGGGATCTGATTTCTGGATTCCAAAAGGAACAGAAAACAAAGCGATGGGCCAATTTTGAAGGGAAAGGAGGAAAAAATAAAAATATAATAACGGATCCTGCGCCTCCTAGATGGAAGACGTTTGAATCCTTCCGTGGACCAAACGAAGGACTTAGTTGCATCGTGCAATCCAGCCCCCTTCGCTTAGCAGCGAGCAGCAAGCAGCGGCAGCATCCCTGGAGGATAATAACAGGACCGACGCCGAAGGAGTCGAGGGCGGGGACTGAGAGGTTGTCCCTGGGGGTTAGTGAGCCCAGGAAGGACAGAAAGACCCTAAACCTGCCACCCACAGAACTTGCCCGGGATTTGGGATCAGGCTAAACTCGTCGTCGCCAGGATCCACGCCACAAACGAGGATTAGAGCAACCGATCGGTCACGACACCCCCAACCCCTCCCCCACCGTTGTTGTATCTTCAGCACCGCCGTCGCGAGGAATAGTTGGAAGATGGGAGCGCGTGAGACCCAGCGGGTGGAAGCTGCTCCAGCCCCGGCCGTACACAACAGGGAGCGGCGGTGGGAGAACGAGGGAGCCGCCGCTCAGTAGAAGGACCTGCGGAGGAAGGCAGCCCGCCGAGCCCCGAAGAAGAGAACGGCAGCTAGCTTTTCAGCGCCCGCCCGCCCGCCGGCCCTTGGTTCTGACGCTGCCCTCGCTTCCAAGACGGCGGTGCCGAAGAAGCGCCGCGCTTTGAAGAGCCGCGTCCCGTCGCGCTTGCTGACAGCCAGGCAGCCCGAAGCGAAGAGAGCAGGTGCTGCTGACCTTCCCTGGCGGGAGGGCAGCGTCCCCTCTCGCTCGGCCCGGGCTCCCGTTCGCTGGCGGAGGTTGCCAAGAGGCCAAGGGGCGGCTCGCGCCTCTCCTTTGGGGCACGGCGGGCGGCTACGAGGGGAGCGCGCGGAGCGGCTGGCAGCCCCCGCCCACCCCAGGGAGCCATTGCCCGCCTGCCGGTGAGGAAAGCGGGCAGAGGAGAGAGTCGCGCTCCCAATCCCCGCCCTCCGCTCGGCGGCTCTGGCTGACAGGCCCTGGGCGGGCTGAGCTCGGCGGCCCCTGCTCCGGCTGCCATGTGCTGGGGCTGCCGCCTCTCCCGCGGCCTCCCTCGCTGGTCTAAATGCTCCTAGGGGCGTCCTGGCTGTGCTCCTCCAAGGCTGCCGCCGCAGAGAAGCGAGCAGCCGAGGAGAGGCGGAAGCGGCGGGCGGTTTCGGCGGCGGCGGCGGGAGGCGGCTTCGGCGGGGGCAACGGTGAGGGACCGCCGCCCGCCGCCGGAGGGGCCATGGACGAGTCGTCGTTGCTGGACTTGTTGGAGTGCTCCGTGTGCCTGGAGCGCCTGGACACGACGGCCAAGGTGCTCCCCTGCCAGCACACCTTCTGCCGCCGCTGCCTGGAGAGCATTGTCAGCTCCCGCCACGAGCTGCGCTGCCCCGAGTGCCGCATCCTGGTGGGCTGCGGCGTCGACGAGCTGCCCGCCAACATCCTGCTCGTTCGCCTGCTGGACGGCATTCGGCAGAGACCCCGCGCTGGCGCTGGCAGCGGCTGCTGCGGGGGCGGCAACTGCGGCCCCGGCAGCCCCAAATCCCCGAGCAAGGCTGGCCTGTCAGGCGGCGACAGCGGGGACAACCCTACCGCCGCTGGAGCAGGAGGTGGAGGAAACGGCGTGGTCCCCCCTGTTAAGACTGGTTGTCAATCCGCGGCCGTGGCCACCACGTCCAGCGGCTCCCCGAGTGTGGCCGCTGCAGCTGCTTCAGCCGCCGCCAGTCTGCGGGAACTCGCCGCTGCCAGCCGGAGCGCCTTGCTTAAGGTAAGTTAGAAGCCAAGGCACTCTTTCTTTCTTTCTTTCTTTCTTTCTTTCTTTCTTTCTTTCTTTCTTTCTTTCTTTCTTTCTTTCTTTCTTTCTTTCTTTCCCTCCCTCCCTCCCTCCCTCCCTCCTTCCTTCCCCGCCCCTTTTCCAACACTGTTTGTGTTACCCTTTTCAACTCTGCACCATAGAAACTTTGCATGCAGGAGGGTGACTATGTATTGGGTTGGTTCCACCAACTTCGCTGGCTCTCTGAGTTCAACTTTGGTGATCAGATGTAGCAGGGTATATGGCAATCCTCAGGGTGGTAGATGTCCTGCAAAGACTACTGTCCATGTTGTGAGAACAGTATTTTTTATTTACTTTTAGAAATTCCTCACCAGGAGGCAAAAGTAGAGCCAGATACAATGGGAGACTGGAACTCCTCTTTCTTTCCATGGCTTCTTCTCCCATTTGAGAGCTTCCACTCAGTTCTGTGAATGTCCTATAATTTTTCTTGAAAATAGCTCTAGTAGGTTCAAATTTTGATTATTCAGAATTGCAGGACCAATAAGAGATGAATCTGCCAAAAATCCTTTTCTCTAAACTGAAGCATATAGGATTCACTTTGGCATCAATGGCAATATAATGATCCTTCTTTAAATTGTCTCAAATAACATTTAGCCACAGATACTTGTTTATGTGACATATAAGCCACCCTCTGCTTTTCTAAAATGAATGCACATTGATTCTCAACTGCTACTGGTATAGTAGAATGTATATTAATTGTACACTTAGCTTAGTTGTTGCAGTTTCTGACTCCTCTTTCCCCTATTCATGATTTGGTCTAAGGAGGATTCCGTTTTGTGCAATAGTCCATAGAAAATCCCTTTTCTTGTTATATTGTTTGAAGCTATTCTTTATATTTACCATGGATGATCAAATCCTGGAGTAGTTTATCTGTTCAAAGAATTTTCCACAAGGACATGTTATTCTAACATGAGCACTTCAGAGAGCAAGAATTGTTTAAAATCATTGATAAGGGTCTGGTCTGGGTAATATTTTTTTTCTTTGAATGAGCAGTGACTGTAAAATAATTCATTTCTTTTACATAAAAATCATAATGTCTTAAATAATAGTCAGTGTGTTGAATAGTATACAGTACTGGACTTTGTGGTTGAATAGGCACATGATACAGAAGCTGTAGTAAAATATATTCTACATGAATACAAGTTCCCTGGTACCTCTAATCCCAGTTGTAAGAAATAGTCAGCAAGTGATTGGAAAGTCATTTCTCTTCTTCAGACCCAGGAGAGCACCTAACAGTCAGAATAGATACCGGTAACATTGTGCTGAATGTAAAAAATACACTCTAGTGAAAAGTAGCTTTCCCATGTTCTCGTGAAGCAATAGCATTATTTAATTATCACATACTAAAATCAGTTTTTCCATGTGCCAGGTGGACTTCTTCACATCTCATTATGTGAGGCTCTGGAACATGACCACAATCAAGACATATTACTAAAACCTATAGCAAAAATATGCATTGTGAGTGCAAGAATGAGTGGTTTCTTGTACATACTGGTGTATAACAAATGACAAGAATTGGTAAAACCTCTTTTTGTTTGCAGGGACAGACTTGCCTCACTTTTAAAATAACTTATTCACTGTCACATATGTATGGCTGCATGTTTACTCCCTTTTTCAGGGTAATGAGTTCATGAATGTAAATGTTTCATTGAAATTGTTTGTTTAGCCTTCTAAGTGATTTCACAGCATTACCTTTTAAATCAGCACAGTATTTCCAAGGTTCCTCATAGCAAAAGAACTTTGGAGTAATATATAACAATACAAAGAGATGAAAGTCTTAGAATTGTTACTATTAGTTATTTCACATGTTCTCCTCAAAACTAAATGGAGCACCTTGTATGTATTAAGCAATACAGAATATAAAGTAAGTGATTGCAAAGAACAGATATTTTACCGAATTATAAGATTTATTCGGGCAGATATGTCCCCAAATAACTTCTTACTATATAATTTTCTGGGAATATATACTAATTGGACATTGAAAAGTAGAATTAATCCTAACTCTTCACCTACTTCTATGGGAAAAAATATGAATAATAGAAGTAGCACACTTGTGCTTGCTAAGTGCAAAATTATTATCTTGTTGAATGGCATTTTTGTTAAAGAAAACTAAAAAGCATTTTTATTTGATGGCAGCCATCCTTTGTGCATTTGTAGGAAATTAAGTTCATAGTGGTTTTGTAAAACATAGCTAATATCTTCTTCTTTGAATTCCTACCAACCCAAACTGTCTTTAAGAGGACACAGAATGTTGCATTAAGTTACTGTAGCATAGTCTTAGACTGTATTGGACTAAGTAATGAGGGATATTAGGATGTGAAATTACCTACCAAGGGAAGTAGAATGTCAGCCATTAGAAGATTTTTGTCTCAGATCCAATATGCATTTGTTATGGATACTTAAATTGGCAATAAATCTCAGAATGGCAAATTATACCAGATAATCTGATTTCATTGTGCCTATAGCTCCATATATCTATTAAGAAACATGCAGTTCTCTCAAAGCAAACTTACTGAATTAAGTAATTAAAATTTCCCTAGGGAAAGTTCATCAGCCATGTATGTTATGATCATAAAATACAGGTAGACTAAGTAGTTTAGCCACTGTAGGTTACTCCACTTAAAAATGTCTGTCTATTCTGCCTTATAGCTGACAGTGACCAAAAAGATTTTTGCTGTTGTTGTTATTGACACTGTTAAAAAAAATCCTGTTTCTCACTTCTGAAATATACAGTTGATAAGTATATCTGCCTGAACCTTCACTTTCCTTAACTAGGGTGCTTAGGTTGCGATTGCTGATATTTTGTGTTTAAATAAAATCTTTTGATCCTCAGCCTATGCTAGAAAGTACTTACCTTTACCTGACTACTTATTCAATAGCCAACATTTTTAAAGCCTTATGAAGTCTGATACATTTAGCATTCATCTGATATCATATGTTAAATGAAACAGTAACAAGCTCTGAATTTTTATTTGCATTTTAATGCTTTATTTTGAGTGAGGGGATCACTGGAAAAACAGGATATGCTTAGAAATATATGCAGTACTTATTAAGCTTGCGTTATTCAGGAACATTGTTCTGTGTAGTTGTCATTTTTTGTTTGTTTAAAAAGACTCTGACCTCTGTTTAGATGAATAAGCACATTTTTTTCCATGGAGGAGGGGAAATAATTTACCCAAAATTGAATGGAAGAAAACAAAATATAGTAATTGCTATGATATGGGATATAAAATATTTTCATACTCACACTTAATTATTTACTTTATATAGTGTCAAACATCCAAAATGTTCCCAGCAGATTACAATATAACTAATACAAGTGTAAAATTGTAAAAACATAAAATCCATACAACTGCCCACCCACTACAGCAGACATGTCAAAACTGCGACGTCACGTGACGTATCGGGACTGTTTTGCCATTGCTGGCAATGGGGTGGGCACGGCTTCCACATGACGCGTCCAGCCCACGGGCCAGCAGTTTGACACCCCTGCACTACAGGATCTATTCATTAATGACAACTTTATGGTGAAAATTATAGATTAAACTCTGTGAAACAACTTTGTGTTTACTGCTTTGGAAAAGTGGTTGCTTTTATTGTTGCTGTGATTAAAATATGGAAAAATATATTCTTGGGATTAAAATTATTTTATTTTTCTCTCCTATTTGAGGCTAAGCTTATACAGGTATTGACCCTTTCAACTGAATATAGATAGCAGATACAGATACTAAGATCAGCCATCAGCTTTATAACCTTTCATTCTTTGTTTCACAAAAGCAGGAAGGCTATTCAAAAGCTTTAGATTGTGATGAATAAAGCTTGAAGAGTCTTCAGTTATAAAGGCCTCTGTTAAAAGGATATGCCAACAACTCTAACTGTGGGCTACCAGATCCAGGCAAGACACAAACTGCACAATTGCTAAGAGGACAGCAAAGAGTTTTCTGTATCTTATTTATTTTATTTATTTATTTATTTATTATTTGAATTTATATCCCGCCCTTCTCCTTGCGGACTCAGGGCGGCTGACAATCAATTAAAAACACCACTAACAATCACAAGTTAAAATTAATTAAAATGAAATATTTAAATTGTCTAATTAAATTGTCTAATCTTCTTGCTACTATCTAGTGATCACCTGGATTTATGCAGTCTAAAACTAGCAGCCCCAAACAATTCTTTCCAACATGCTTATATCTAGAAAAAAAATGCTAAGTGTATGTTCTTAAAGATTCTCAATATGTAAAGATACTAGTCTTTTGTGATTGTAAGAGATACTGAAGTAGTGTCCAAAAAATATAGCTATGTTTGCAATCCACAAGATATCCTTTTAATTTTTAAACTTTTATCTAAGATGCAAACTAATTCAAGTGCTTTTCTTGGCTGACTTCTCAACTGGCTATATTAGACAGATATAATTCAAGAATAGCTCAGATCTGCAAAATTAAATGAATGTGATAGATTCAATTAAATCTTGTGATGCTTATTCCCAGAGAGAATACATTGTCTACATGGGATTAAATCTTTTGTTTCAGAAAATAATATATTTATTGTTACTTAGTAATATTGATATGTAGGGATTTTACAATAATATATTGTTCTCAAATGTCTACAAATCAATTTTATTTTTGTTTAAATGGATCTATGACAGATGAATGTTAATGATTAAAATAAGATTCCTTTTATAGACAATGTTGACTATCTTTAAAGGTAACAGATAAGGTAACAGATATATATATCTCCCAGCATGTAAGTGTTGATGTTTCTTTGTAAAGCAGGGGTCCCCAACCCCTGGTCCATGGACCAGTATCGGGCCGCAGCATGCCAGCAACCAGTCCTCACAAACAAGCAAAGCCCCATCCACAGGATGTAGGCAGTACAGAAAACCACGCCCCCTCAGGTCCGCAGAAAAACCTCTCTCCATGTAACCGGTCCCTGGTGCCCAAAAGGTTGGGGACCTCTGCTGTAAAGGATTCGGTCTCCAGAGTTCAATAATTATGGAAAAGTTTGCACTAAGATATTTACACCTTAGATTAAGATCTAGTTCTATCATTCTTACCTCTTTTTTTAATAATAAGTTTATTAAGGTACATTAATTTAATTACATTTAAAAAGATAAATGCTAATACAAACTAAAAAATAATAAAACAATAAAAAGAAAAAAGAACAGAAAAAATAAGATTATAGTAAAGAAAAAAACCCAAAGAAATGACTTCCCACTTGACCAGAAAAATATAATAAATTTTAGTAACTTATTACTTCTCTTAAAATACAAGAAATGATCTTCCCATACCTTATTTCTTATCCTTAAAGTCTCATCATTCAGTCCTGATCAGCAAAAGTCCATTAAAGGTTTAATCAAATAAACCAATTTTATTTTCCTTCCTTTTGCTTTTAATAATTTTAATCTTTACAGCAATCCATTCAAATATTCTAGACCCTGATTTCTTTTCTTTCTTTTTTTTCATTTCTTCTCTTTTTCCCCTTATTCCTTTTGCCAAAATCTTTCAAAACTTTTAACAGGTCTCTTTTTAAAAAAAATCCAATGTAGGAAAAATCCAAGTGACTCCTCTGGTTTGTTACTTGTGTGTACCTTTTAATTATTAAGATGTCAAAAAGTTTTATTTGTATATTCAGTGTAACATTTTCCCCTACATCCTTCTTGTAGTTTGCCATTTTAAAATCCACATTAAAAATCAGTCACCATTTTGTTTGCTAGAACTTGTTCTTCTCCTATAAGATCTTTTACATCTATTTAATTTTAATTCTTAAAATTAATTATGGAATCTATTGTTCACAAATATCTATTCAACATATCCCATGTTAAAATATTTTGCTCAATTCAGGATTAGCAAGTTACATTTAACTGTTCTTCTTTAGTTGTAATTTTTAGTTTCTTCTGGTTCCTGTGGTGTCCAATCTTCAAAGTCTCATACTATCATGTTTTGTTTTAAGAATTCAAAACTACGACATTTCCTCATGGGAAGGATTGTTATAATTAATGTCAAAATCTTATATCAAATCCATCTGGACCCTGAATATTTCTATAACTTTCCAAAATCAACACTCTAATCATCCCTTTGTTGTTTATTTTTTTAAAAACAATTTTTCTAAGTTCCTAAATACATACTTAAAACTTCTTTTACTAAGGATTGAAGGAAACCCACTCAGTGAGTGCCATAAAATTTGCCGCTCTGTAGGTTCTTAATATTTGAAAAGCAATTAAAAAGTAATTCCAGACGTGATTAAGAAATGAGGTTCCGTCAGACTTTGTTTCCACAGAGGCTACATGAACTTAGTTGAAATCCTTCAACTCCCAACTGCTCAACTTGCAAGCTGACTGCAAATACTTTGATTCCTACAGTCTACTATCAAGGAGCAGCTGCCTGGAGATGCCCTGGTCTCACAATCTCTCCTTTCTCCAGAGAGATTCCGCTGACTTGGATCTACCAGCTGATTGCCAATCTCCATTGTAACACCGTCCCCACTCCTTCAGGAATATTTAGGTCACCATGGCCCACTGAAGCTTGTGACTTTTGGAACCATTTTTCCACCACATTTTCTTTTCTTCTACTAACTAACTTTTGCCTTTATTTAGTTATTTATATTTGGAGTGAAGCCATATTTTGTGCTTGTGGAAGTTTATATTATAGCAAATCATCTGCCATTCCCCTAGACTTTATTAACATAGTCCTTATATGATGTGTCTTCTTGGATTCAGCATTCAAGCTAATTACGCTTTTATACGTTATTTGAGGTGTTTTGCTTTCGGTATATTCAGTATTAATCTATCTGGAATAATCAAACCATGATTTTTTTTTACTCCAGAATTTATTGTAGCAACATAATTCAATCTATAAATGTACTTTATGTGTATTTTAAAACTGGGTTTGGAAACAGCCTCACCTGGTAGAAAAGGCTGGTTAGGAAAGAAGATTAAGAAATCTTATCAATATATGTTTATATATATTTAACTTAAGAATATATGAAATTCATCTTTTATCAGGCATGTTTAAAGCATTTTATAAATATCACAATCTTAATAAATGTATAAACTTTCCAAATCTAAAGGGTTAGGGGTGGGTGGTTCCGTATTGTGTTGGTTGTCCTCCTTACTCCGGAACTAGTTTCAGTTTTGATTGGGAAAAATAGGTTTCTGCCCTTAGTCCCTGCTTTACAGAATTCTCCAGGTTCAGTACTTGGATCATTCTCATTTAACATCTGCATGAAATTATTGGATGAGGGATCCATTGCAAGGGGGATGACATATCTTTACTGTAATATGCTTATGAAACCCAGGTGTATACCTAGCTATAGATCTCTGCCCTGGTGAATCAAATGATGTGGTTGATGTCCTAACTCCTGGTATCTGAAGACTGTGGAGGTTTGGATGGGGAATCATAAGCTTCAACGCAACCCCAACTAGACTTTGAATTTCCGGGTTTTTCAGTTCTTAACATCTTTACTTGTGGGTGGGGTTGAACTGCCCCAACTGGGCCCTATGTACAATTTGGGGGTCCCTCTGGACTCACGCTTCCTGCTTGAAGAGCAAGCGGTAGTTGTGACCAGGAGGGCCCTTGTACAACTTTTTGTAGTAACCAGTTGCACCCATTTCTAGATCACAACGTTTTATTTTCAGTCATTAATGCTCTGATTACCTTCTAAATAGATTACTGTTATATGGTGTACATGGAGCTGCCCTTGAAGAGCACCTGGAAGCTGCTTTAAAATGCAGCACTTAGACAGTTACTATAAGTAGTAAATTTTGCTTAATCAGCACATACTGTACTCCACAAGCTGTCTTGGTTGCCAGTATGCTTCTGGCAACTGGAACTTTTTTCAATTGAAAGTACTGGTAATAACCCATAAAGCCCTATATGACATGGGGCACGGTTATTTGGTGCACTACTTCTCTTCAGTTACATCTACCCATCCCATCAGGACTGGCAGAAGACTGACATCTTCTGGGTTCCATTTATTAAGAAGTGCCATCTGATGGGACCCAGGAGGAGGGTCCCATCAGTATCCACAACAGTATCTGCCTTTTGGAACATCCTCTTGTAGGTTAGATTAGCCCTGATCCTGCTTGCCTAATGGTTCTGAAGATGTGGTTTTCTCATTGTGTCATTTTTTTCTTCATAAACGATGAATATGAATATATTGTGACCATTTAATATAGCACCCCAAAATGCACTGCATATTGTTGTAATCTATTATTGCCTTCAGCTGTAAAGTGCAGTTGGGAGAAGTTATTGCCATTTCCCTGTTTTGTTACAAATATGACAAGACTATTTTTAGGAACTGGGTAAGTCAATGAACAATGAACAATCTGAAACTTTATGAAAAACTCAGTGTGCTTAAGATTTTTGGGATTCCTGGCTTAAAGAATTACAAGTCAGAGTTTCTGATAAAAACTCGTTATGTAAAAAAGACTGATTAATTGATTGTTATTATAGATTACCAATGTATCAGCACCAAGATGAGGATAAGTCAGTATAAAGGCCATGGATTGTAAATAAAGTAAAATAAATTTTTAAAAAGTGTTTGAAAATTGTCTATGCAGATCTGACCAAATTTGACTGCTTTTTTGTCTTTTAAAAAATCCTATAGCTATCACTAACAGTGTTCCATTGCAACAAACCAAATATGTCATCCTTCAATGTTGTATGAAAAATTCTTCCTTGTTCCCTGAGTCAGAAATTCATAATTCTTGATATCTTGTTAGTTTCCAAATATTGGGGATATGGCCAAGTAGAACCTAAGTATTTTTGAGATACAGGGATTAATCCAGAGTCATATCAGCAATCCTGTTAATTTGC